ACTATCAGGCGAAACGTTTCCTCAGGAGCAGGTTCTGGGTCAGCACCAGAACCAGAGCCAAGAGCCGGGGCTCGACCCCCCCCCCCACCCCAGCCCCGGCCACAAGCACAACAGCATCCGCTTCGTCCCCATCCCATCCCATCCCCTCCCGGTCCTTGCCCCCTCCTCGAGCCTCGCTGGGTGTCTTTGTCAGGGGAGAACCGTCGTGGACAGTGGTGGATTGTCTGTGCCGTGTGGTTGTAGTGCTTAGAGACCCCCCCAGCGTGCGGCCCCCTCCCGCTGCGCCCTCCTCCCCGCTGCCCGGTGCTGCCCGGCACTCGCGCCTGCGACAGCCGCCGCCACCAGAGACAAAGCGAATCACGGTGATAATGAACAGTGATAAGCATTAATAATAAGAAGAAACCAAACCTCTCTCAGGAACGAGCCGCCCCGGCGGCGGCCGAGCGGGCCGGGGGGCTCCCGGAGCCGGTGGGGCCCCGGCGCAGCCTCCGCACGGGCGCCAGCGCTCGGGGTCACCTTTGTCGTGTTCGTGGTAGTGAAGGAACCTGTAGCTGTTGTCTTGGAGAAACGGGATTTCAGCCGAGGGCAGCCCCGGCTCTGCCCAGCTCGGCTCCCGGTTATCCTGGCTGTTGTGACTATGGAATAAAGTGTGTTGGTCTGAGCCCCGCGGCTGCGGCTCCTCCTGAGGCACCCCCGGGAGGGGAGATGGGGGGATGCGGGTTCCCAGAGGGATGAGGCGCTCCCAGTGGCCACCATCCAGCTCCCACCCTGAGCCCCAGGTCCCGTGGGCTCCCCAGGGATCATCCCCTGGGGCAGGTTCACCCTCATCAACCCGCAGGGTGTGTGTGCACACACGTGTATGCACGCGTGTGCATCTCCCTACATGTGTGTAAGCACCCGCTTGGTGTGCAACGCGTGTGTGCACCCGTGCATGTGTGTGGTTGCACAGCACACGGGGATGCGTGCACATGTATGTGCTCTGTGCACGGCTGCACACGCATGTGCTGTGCCTGCTCTGTGCACACACAGCCCTATAGCTCAGCCTATGGGGGGTCGGGTGTTAATCCAGCCCTGCAGGAGGGCCCAGGAGGGAGGGGGGGGGCCACGGGGGCACACGCTGCTTGCATCACTGCATCCCCCCGCCCCGCCCATGGTTGTTACCATGGCAACAGGGGAGCCTCGAGCATCCCTGGGTACCACCGCCCTGCACCCGGGTGATGCTGGGGACCAGGGTGGGGGATGGCTGCACAGCCACGCGGGGCCCAGCACCCAGCACCAGTCCCAAAGCCACGGGGACAGCGATGCCCCAGCACCGGCTCACAGCAGCCCCTGGCCGTGGCACCGGGCTCCTGCCCAGGGTCACCACCCAGAGCAGGGGGTTGGTGGGTCCGCTCTGACCACGATCCATCGCTGCTGCCTCCTGCCCTCGGCACAGGCTGGTGCGCGGTGTGGCTCACACAGGCCCATGCCCACATCAGCACCAGCCTGGCTCTGAGCCACGCGGTGGGTGCACACAGCATCCCACCGGCAGCATCTGCCCAGCACAGCCCCCCCGTCCCAAGGACAAGGACAGTGCCAGGGCTGTGCTGAAGCCGGGGATGATGCCATGGATCCCTCTGGACACAAGGATAGTAGAGAGACCTGGAAAAGAGAAGGATGCTCTAAGGCCTCTGCCCTCCCAGAGGTAAGCAGGGGAGCAGGTAGGGGTGCGGGCAGGGCGAGCCCATGTGGGGACACCTGGGGGGATGCAGGGTGAGGGCAGCCCGGGGCAGGAGGCACCAGCACCAGGGATGCACTGGGGTGGGCGGCCCCTCCCCACCAAACGGTGTCAGCACCAGGCTGGGCCCCCCCTGGATCCCCGCATCCAAGAACCACCTTGATGGTCCATGGAGGCGGTGACAAACGTCCCCAGGTCTAGGCACAGCCAGGGCACGAGCAGCGCATCCCCCTGCAAGGCCTCCCCAGTGCAGGGCTTTGTTCAGCACCGCGGCGGCACCGAAAGGGTCCCGGTCCCCAGTCGCCCTCCTCCGGGCTGGCACTTCCCCACGCGGGGCAGGAGCAGGAGGGGACGTGGTGGCCGTGTCCCCGCATCCCTGAACGGCAGCGGCCCCTCGGCTCCCCCCCCAACCCTGCTCCTCCTTCCCCATGGCCGCCGATTGGGTGGCTGCGGGTGGCCTGATGTGGGGCCCGATCCTGGCGGCGGGTCTGGACGCGCCTCAGGACGGGCACATCCCGGTGGTGCCGGGGGGTTTCCTTCCTCCATCACGTGTGGGAGCCCCACCGGGATGAGGGCAGTGATGCCCTTGGTCTGCCACCCCCAGGATGTGGCTCTGGCTGGGTCCTGGTGGCCAAGACAGAGCCCTGGTGGGGGTCTGAGGGGGCAGCTCTTGGAGTCCCTCTTGGTGGTCCCCAAAACAGGCAATGCCCCCTGCGTGGGGGTGCACACAGCAGGGTGCCCTGTCCCCGCCCCTGCACCCTAGGGTGCTATGGCTGCAGGAGGGGTTGGTGGGTACTGGGGTCCCTTTGCCCTCCCCATGACACCTAAACCCAACACCCAGCTGTGAGCCAGAGTGCAGCCGTGAGCCCAGCGTGGGGCAGGGGAAGGGGTTGGGGTGGGGGGTCTCTTACCTTCCAGATGTGGGGGGCAAGGACCCGTCCCCATCATTAGCACCGGCTCTGGTACAGTCCTTGTGGGAGAGGTGGTGTCCCATCGCGTCCTATCCTGTCCCATCACGTCCCACAGCCGCTCCGCTCTGCCAAGGCCAAGTGATGCTTCCCAGCGTTGGGAGCGGCTCCTCAAGGAGGATGGGGAGGAAGAGATGCCAAACACAGCCGTGGTCCATCCACACAACAGCAGCAGGGGGACAAGAGCACACAGCCCCTGTTCCCACTCTTTTGGGGTCAATAAAGGTGATGCTTCCATGGGCTCTTCAATGCACTGAGTCCCAATTCAGCCACGGGTGCTCGGGAAGAGCCTGGAGCAGCTCCAGGGACCTGCAGGCAGCTCAGCCCCATCCGGCTGCACTGCGGGGCCACAGGGATGCACCAGGGTGCCAGGAGCACGGGGGGGCAGGAACGGTGTCAGTAACAGTTTATTGTACAGGGTGGGCTTTGTACAAACCCGCATGGACAGGGGGATGTGAAGTCTTGGTACAGAGGAACTGAAACACCCGAAGCGTCTCCTCCAGCCCCTTCCTCCCCGGGGACAACGCAACAACTAAAGTGCATGGTGGGCAGAGAGCCGGGGGGGGGCTCCAGCGTCCCCTCCTTTGGGGTGCTGGGGAGTGCACAGAGGGGCCCTGGGACCCCAGCAGCACCCCCAGGGCACCACAGTCTCTCCTGCCCCACGAGTTGCTAAAGTGCTAAAGCCCCATGCTCTGCCCCACACGCTGCTGCCCTGGGGGTGCTGGTGGGGAGGGAGCCCTGAGAGCAGCCCCCGGCTCCCACCGTGGGCACACCGAGCCCTGGAGTGAGGGAGCAGCAGCAGGAATGGGCCTCGGGGCCCATCCTGCCTGGGCCAGAGCACATCCACCTGCTCCAGATGCAGCCTGCAAAGGAAACTCCTCTGCTCAGAGCTCAATGGAACCACATGAGGAGAGCCCGTGCGCCCTGCGGCCACCCTGATGGTCATAAAGGCACAGCCCCGCCGAGGGTGAAAGCCCACAGGGCAAACCAGACCTGCCCCGAGGCGCTCCCAGAACCCCAGCACAGGGCTGGGACATGCAGGGAATGAGCTTCCTATCCCAAACTCTTCAACCAACGCCTGTTTGCAGGGGTGCAGCCCCTGGGCAGGGCACTGGGCACCACGCAGCAATGGCAGGGGAGCAGGGGGGGAGCAGAGGGACAGGTAAGGGCACTTGTGGGAGGTTGAGCAGCTCAGGGAGAGGTAGAGGCATGGAGCAGGGCCTGGCTTTGGCTCAGTGGGACACTGAGCTGGGTGGGGGGGGTGCTGCTTAGCTGGGAGGGGAGGGAGTGCTGGGGCTGTGAATGGGGCTGGAGGGGAGGCAGGAGCTGTGCCTGGTGGGGAGGGGGCCTGACTGGGAAACTCCCTCCCTTGTGTTGCTCTGAAGCGTGAGCAGCTCCTGGGGAGGTTTGTCCCAGGTTTCCCGTGGCCATGACTCTGATGCGTGCAAAGGGGCTCACAGGGTGGAAAAAGCCTTTCTCTGCGCTCAAACCCGCTCCCGGAGCTGTAAGAGAAGCCTGCAACGGGTGCTTGTGGTGCTGCTAAGACTCGTGGTGAGGTGATCAGGCACATGACAGCACACACCTCTGGCAGCGTGTGCGACGCTCGGGTCTCCCCTTGCTCACCCCCACTGTGGCCAGCGATGGAGCCCCAGTGAGGGGCAGCCGGGCTCCCCGGGGCCACCCCAGTGTGCACCTGGCCCTGGCCCTTCTCTCCTGCCAACAGGCTGCAGAGATGAGGAAACAGAACAGGGAACGTTCACACTGGAGAGAACCTCACGGCCGGGCACTGGGAAAGGGCTGGCTCTGCTCAGAGGTTGCCCATAGGAAAGGGCTGGACCGTGGGGCCACCGGCAGCCTGCAGACAGGAGTGATGCAGAGCTCAGGGCTGCCTGGCTCCTCAGGAGTGTAACAACCCCCCCCCCCTCCCCAGCCAAGTGAGATTCTGCTCCAGGCACGGATCTGCCCTTGCTCCCACCTAATTACCCCACAGGGATCATATGGGGCTAGCCCCCACCCAGCTCTCTGCTCAACAGTCACCTGGGTGCAGCCTGAAGAGCCAGACTCCTCCAAACTCCGCTTCCTCACGAGGTGCTGGCAGTGCCTGTGTGCTCAGCCCTGCCCGGGGAGCAGAGAACAAGGTGAGCATCCAAGTGGGGTCCAATCCTGCTGGACTGGCTCCCCTCGGTCTCCGTTGCAAAGGCCAAAAGCGTCCCCGGAGGCAGCAATGATAAAACCCCATGGCTGCACAGGTCATTTCCAGCCACGTCCTCACGCCAAGCAGCACCCGGTGCGTGCGGCAGCGGCGCGGGGCCAGGGCGTCAGGGGAAGATCTGCAGCTCAAACTTGGGGGCCCACTCCAGGGCGCTCTTCACCACGGCCAGGGCAGCGGCTCCCAGCGCCACCGTCAGCCCCATCACAGCCAGCTTCACCAAGCGGTTGGTCCTGGGCTTTGCCAGGATGGATTCTGTCCTGTCCTCCGCGCGCAGGCGCTCCCGGAAGCGCTGCCGCAGCACCGTGTCGGGTCTCTGCTGCACCGAGGCCAACTCAAAGTCCTTAAACGTGGAAGCCGCGGTTCTGCAAGAGAAGAAACCGGGGTCAAGGAGTGGCCCCAGCCCGTCCTCGGGACCCGCCTCCTGCCACGGGGAGATCACAGAACCATGGAACGGGTTGGGGTGGAAGGGACCTTAAAGCACACACAGTTCCATCCAGGGACCCCTTCCACTGGAGCAGCTTGCTCCAAGCCCCTGCGTCCAACCTGGCCTTGAACACTGCCACGGACGGGGCAGCCACAGCTTCTCTGGGCACCCTGTGCCAGCGCCTCAGCACCCTCACAGGGAAGAGCTTCTGCCTTATCTCCAACCTGAACTTCCCCTGTTTCAGTTTAAACCCATCACCCCATATCCCAGATGAAGAGTCCCTCCCCAGCATCCCTGTAGCCCCCTTCAGATACTGGAAGCTGCTCTGAGGTCTCCACACAGCTTCTCTTCTCCAGGCTGAACAGCCCCAATGTTCTCAGCCCGTCTCCTTACGAGAGGTGCTTCAGCCCCTGAGCATCCTTGTGGCCTCCTCTGGACTTGCTCCAACAGCTCCATGTCCTCCTTACGCTGAGGACACCAGAGCTGCACCCAGTGCTCCAAGAGGGGCCGATCTTCATGAGGAAGCAAGACCCAGGGAGGGGATGGAGCGAAGCCAGGGGCAGCACTCACCGCTCCGCCTGCTGCTGGGCTGCCTCCCGGGCCAGTTCGGAGGGGGGGAACTGGACAAAGAGGTCCCCGGCTCTGCTGATGAGGGTCTCGTAGGGAAGGTCCTGTGGGATCTGGGACAGGAGGTGGTGCACAGAGGCCATGTCACACTCGCAGTCCAGCACTTCCTGCTCGCGGTACAGCACGATCTGCAGGGAGCAGAGAGAGCTCTGAGGGCAGCGGGCAGTGGGGACGAGGCCCTGTCACCCGCTGGCACTCACTTCTGAGCCACAAAACACTTCACTTCCAGCTGGAAGAGCTGCCCTTCCTCACGGGGCCATGTGGCAGTGAAGTGTTCCCTGGCTGGGAAGAGCAATGCCAAACCCTTCTCAAGGCTGAGGCCGTGATCGTAGAATCATAGAACAGTTCGGGTTGGAAAGGACCTGAAGATCATCCAGTTCCAACCCCCTGCCATGGGCAGGGACACCTCACACTAAACCATGGCACCCAAGGCCTCGTCCAGCCTGGTCTTGAACATTGCCAGGGATGGAGCATTCACAACCTCCCTGGGCAACCCATTCCAGTGCCTCAGCACCCTCACAGGAAAGAATTTCCTCCTTAGATCCAATCTAAACTTCCCCTGTTTCAGTTTGAACCCGTTACCCCTTGTCCTGTCACTGCAGTCCCTAATGAAGAGTCCCTCCCCAGCATCCCTATAGCCCCCTTCAGATACTGGAAGCTGCTCTGAGGTCTCCACGCAGCTTCTCTTCTCCAGGCTGAACAGCCCCAACTTCCTCAGCCTGTCTCCATACAGGAGGTGCTCCAGTCCCTGATCATCCTCGTGGCCTCCTCTGGACTTGTTCCAACAGTTCCATGTCCTTTTTATGTTGAGGACACCAGAACTGCACACAATGCTCCAGGTGAGGTCTCACGAGAGCAGAGCAGAGGGGCAGGATCACCTCCTTCAACCTGCTGGTCACACTCCTTTTGATAGCCCCTTTCTGGGCTCAAAGAGAGATCTATTTGGATCCCCATAAGGAGAAAGGGCAGCACAGCACAGGGCTGTCCACAGCCAGCCAGATGCCCCAGCAAGCGCCCAGCATCAGGGCCAGCACATGAAAGCAAAGAAAACCACCAGCTCCTGCTGCCCTCACAGCCCTGAGCTGGACCAGGCTGTACACCTGGACACATCCAGGCCAGCCTGAGCTCTCCTGCATCCCCCCTGCCATTGCCAAGGACATCATTGGGGTGCTCTGCAGAGCAGGGGACAGGAGCAGCACTGGGTTTGCCAGCCCCAAACCACCACCACCTCACCGCAGTCCACTTCCTCCCCTGCCATTCCAGGCAGCACCTACCACAGCAGCGAAGTAAATGGGCATCAGGGGATGACAGGCCAGGAAGAAGTCGTATAATCGCACCACGTGCCTGAAGTCGGACAGGACGTGCCCGAACCAGGTGATCAACCAGCTGAGAGCAAAGATGGTGCCCACCTCCGCGCTGCACAGAGACAAAGAGCCGTCAGCCCGGCTGAGGTGCTCCTGGGGAGCCCTGCACTGCAGCCCCACGCCTGGCAGGGCCAGTCCTGCAGGCTCCTTCCCACCCTAAAGGCTTCACTAACACCTGCGAGTTGTAATCCTGCCTGGGACCCAGGAACATCTCGGCCACGAAACCTAACAGAGGCACCGGCCCAGAGAAGGACCTTGGACTGAACCTCCCCCCTTACTTTCCTGCTTCTGTTTCAATCTGCGCAGTCCATACCTGTGGGGCCCTAATTCCCCAAATCCTGGGAATTACCCCCAAAAAGAGCAACAAACCACAGCAAGGGGACACCAGCCAAAACCCTGGGCTCCTGAAGTGGTGGTGGCAGCTCTGTATGATCCCAGCCACAAACCCCCAGCCACAAACCCCCAGCTTTCCCCGTAAGGACTGCAGAGCACCGGGGTGAAGATGGCACCACCTAAAAGCCCTCAAGAGAGGCAGCACAGGAGTGGGTGTGCTCAGAATCAGGGGACACATGGCTTTGGGCTGTCACTGTTGGCTGTGGGGCTGCAGTTGACACACCTGTGTTGAGGGAACGTTTGCGTACCTCTGCATGAAGTCATGCACCTTAGGGTTCACCTGGTCTATGATGGGCATCAGGTAATTTAAAATGTGCTTGGTATTATCCATCGTTGGGTCCATAAAATCCCTGAGGGAAGATGGAGAAGAAGCTTCATCAAGCAACCATATCAGTGAGCTCTGCCTCCAGGGAGGCAGCCAGAAGGTAAAGAAATGCACTTGCAATAGGCAGCTTTCCTGACAGGGTGGCCCCAGCCCCAGGGAACTGTGTCCACCTGGGACAGGCTCCATCCTACCTGATCTGTAAACCCTTCCCAGCACCAAAACCCCAACTCCCTGCCTGGGAAAGGAGGGAGAACCCCCTCCAAAACAGAACCCAGCTGAAGGCTTGGGCTCGTTTCAGTGCACAAACAGGCTGTGGGGCTCAGGCCACTGCTGGTGCAGACCACACTGCCCAGGGCTGTGTAAGGCTGATGGGGAGGCACAGCCAGGCCCTGGCAGCAGAGGCCAGAGAGCTGCGCACAATGCAGGGAGCTGGCTTTGCAGCTTCAAGAGATGCCACCAATTACCTGGCAGCCTTCAATGAGCCCTTCCCCAGAGCACGGCTCCTGCCAAGCCATGTGTGGTCACACTGCTCCCCACAGCACCCCTTTGGGTATGGCCTTAACCCAAGGCTCCCCCTTCCAGGCCAGCTTTGTCTGTGCTGTGTTCCCACAGCTTGGGACACCCATGCAGCTCCTCTCCTCCAGCTGAGCCCCCCCCACGTACCTGAGATGATGCGTCGAGAGCTTCTCCACCAGTGCCGTGGCCAGCTGGTCCCCCACCACCAGGAGGAAGGTGACCACGATGTCGTGGTAGCCCTGGTAGTAGTGCAGCTGCGGGTTGCGCTTCAGGACGTGCAGGATGATATCGATGAGCTCCTCCTGCAACCCTTCCCGCTGGTCATCCGGCATTCCTGTGGGAACAGCACCGGACATTGAGTCGCTGCTGCACATGGATCTGCTGCCCTGAGCCTGGCAGGACACGGGCCTGTGTGAGCAGCAGTGAAGGAATGGTTTGGGTTGGAAGCGACCTTAGGATCATCCAGTTCCAACCCCCTGCCATGGGCAGGGACACCTTGCTGCTGCAAGCCCCTGTGTCCAAGCAGTTTACTGCTGTGCACAGAGCTGTGCAGGATGGTGCTGCACACCCAGCACTGAGGACGCTGCAATCATTTTTAATTTCCCAGAGGTTCTACAAAGATGAAACAGGACCCAGCTTCAGAGAAACTGTGTCAACGCCCTCAGAGCAGCACCCACCACAGCTCCACATCAGTCCCTGCTAACACCACGGGTTGATGGACAGGAAGAACATTGTTCCTGTGCCCGCAGCTGCAGCTGGTTTCCGGCAATCCCTGTCCACAGACAAAACAGCCAAAGGCCAAGCAGCAGGTCCCAGTGGAGATCCTGCAGTGACAAAGTTCCCCTGCTTCACTGATGTATCTAAAAATAGGCAGGAGGCTGCCACTCAGTGTGATCAGACCCATCAGGAACGGGGCATCCGCTCTGCAAAGGGAATCAGGGTGAATCAAGTGCTCACTCACACAAAGGCAGCAGAAGGGGGAAGCAGGTTCTGGCCAGAAATAACGACTGCTCTGCAGAGCTGGGGATGAAATGCTTTATAAATAGCACAACAAGGCACCAGCCACGCAGCAGAACTGAACAACTGCAACGCGTTTTGCTTCTAAAGGTTCAGAGCCCTCCTAAATCTGGTGCATGAACCCAATTTGGAGGCTGTTGAACACCGGAAACGGTTCCAAGAGCTGACAACGCTGCTTTCCCCCTCCCTGGGCCAGAGCAGGCTCTAAAATGAACCACAGCAAACAGGCTGCTTCTCAAGCACTCCATCAATGCAAACCTCACCCCGCTCCTGGCAGGCAAGGGGCCGACAACTGTTCCATGTGCAGTGGGGGGCACAGCGGGAAGTCACATCAGACCCAGCTGAAGGGAGCTGAGGGCTCAGAGTGGCTTTGCTGCACAGAGAAGCTGCTGTAAGCTCTAGCTTTCTAGAGCCAGGCTCTTGGAGTGTCACCACCTGCGACACCCTCTGAGTGAGGTCTGAGCTGGGGGAGCCCCATAGCACAGAGCTCACCCCAGAGAGGCCAGAGGAGAATCCCCCCTCACCTGGTGGGAACCGGCGCAGGGATCGCCGCACGTCCAGGAGCACTTGCTGGTAATCCTTATTGTCCTTCCGCAGCTCCTTGCCTGTGAGGAAAAGAGGAATATGGTTAACACGGTACCAGGAAGAGAGGTGGGAGAGGGAGAGGCCCTGCTGAAGGCAGGAGGATGAGGCTGCACACACACACACACAACATCCCATGGCATGGCCCCCTTTTCATGTGTTACACTCCAGCCCTGGCCCCTCACTTTTGCTGCTGTGTTCAGTGTGGGGAAATGAGATTGTTAGCTGTAGAATCAGAGAATCCCAGACTGGTTTAAGTTGGGAGGGACCTTAAAGCTCCTCCAGCTCCAACCCCTGCCACAGGCAGGGACCCCTTCCACTGGAGCAGCTTGCTCCAAGCCCCTGTGTCCAACCTGGCCTTGAACACTGCCAGGGATGGGGCAGCCACAGCTTCTCTGGGCACCCTGTGCCAGCGCCTCAGCACCCTCACAGGGAAGAGCTTCTGCCTAAGAGCTCATCTCAGTCTCCCCTCCTTCAGTTCAAAGCCAACTCCCCCTTGTCCTGCTCCTACAGGCCCTTGTGCAAAGCAGTCCCCTTCCAGAGGGAGGTGTGGTCTTCAAACACAGCACTCCTGGAAACATCCCTGCTCCACAGTTTTAACTGTGCAACCCAAAGCACCCCCCCGCAGCAGCAGGGCATGCCCAGCTCTGAGACCAGGAAGAGCATTTCATCAACCACCACCCGTGTGAACAGCCCCACACTGAGCCAAGCCGAGAAACCCAGCCCTGGGCCAGCGCCTGTGGACGCCCCGGGGCTCAGAGCTGGCTGCTGTACCTGGGAGGGGGGGCAGGTCGTCTGTGTTCACACTGAGCAGCTTCGGCCACACTTTGCAGCGGATCTCGTCGGTCAGGAGCCCCCCCTCGCTGATCGCCATCCGCCGGAGCGTGGCCACGTCGATGGGGTCACTGTTGAGGGCCTGGTAGATCTCCGCCACTTTCCTTTTCTTCTTGTCATCAAAGTCTGCAGGAAGGTCACAGAGAGGGATGCTGGGGCAGGGAGGGGCTGCAACTCACAGCGTGAGGGGGCAAAACCCACTCATGGCGATGCCACACACACTCACAGGGGAGATGGCACAGGACAGTGAGCACAGGCCCCATCAGTGCCAACCCACCAGCTCAAGGCCCCCATCTCCTCAGGCTCCGCACAGCTCACAGAACATCCCCACTGGTCCCACTGCGGGAGGCAGCTCCTGCTCCTCTCAGCACAGTGCCCAAGGGATCCCTCAGCCCTGTGTTCCCGGGGGATCACGGCTCCGTGCGGGACGGTGACAGCCGTGCGAAGCCACCTGCAACTGTTTGCTCCCTGATGCAGCCTCCAGCTCCAGCATCAAGTGTTTGCTAAGGCCAGGACTCTGTGTTCCTGCTGAGTCCAGGCTGCAGCTCCCACCGGCAGTGGCCTGGGGAGGAGTCTGAGCACTTCCACCGACCCCAACGGGCACAGGAAGGGACTGAATTAAACCAGAGGTAAGGAATCACGAGCACAGGAACACACTGGGCCAGTGTGAAACCACCACCACCGTTTGTGGAGCACACGGGGCAGATAGGGGATGGAACACACACAGGGAAGGGAACAACGAAGGCAGGGGAAGGAGTATCAGGCAGAGCACTGTGTGCTCTGCCTTCAAACGGGTTAAACGCACTTACAGGACTCGAGAGCGCTTCCTGGGGACACCACTTCCCACTGCATCCCGGTACCTGTCCCCGCTGCCCCACACCAGGGAGGAGTTTCCGCCAAGCAGCCGCGGGGCCGGAGCGCAGGATGAGGCCACCAGCGCCTCCTTCACTTAAAGGCTTTCCCAACAGATCCAGCTACTGTGGGGACCCGATCGGGATTCGTTCCATCAGGACGTGTCCGAACCGGGTTTGCATGGGAGGAACTCAAAGGATCCCGATGGGGAAGCAGCTGTTCGCTCCCTGCCCACGTGGCACCGCCGCTGTCCCGGCGCTGCTCCCCGCTCCCGGCTGGAATTCCCGCCTTCAGGAATGCGTCCGGGCAGAGCACGTCCGGCTGCTCGGACAGCGGGGAGGCCACCAGCAGCCACTGCCCCCTCTCTAAGCACCCTTTTGGGAGGAAACCTGCGCCAGCTCCGCCGGGCTCCGAGTCCCGGTAACGTCAAAGCACCAAACCCTCCCGGAGCGACCGCGGTTTCCTCTTCTCTCCTCTCCTTCCCCACCCCTTGTGCAAGCAAAGTTATGTGCAGGGAACAGCAGCCGGCCCCTGCTCCCTGCCCCGGGTACGGTAAGTAAGGAGGAGCAGAGCTGCGGGAGCTCCTCCCGGCCACACACAAAGCGCTCGGGGAGCAGCGCGAAGGAAGGAGCAGGAACCGGGGGCTCCTGGTCTGAGCTTTACTGGGGAGCAGCCCGGGATTTACCGGGGTCAGACCCGCACAGGGCGATGGCTGCGCTGGACACAGGGGTACTGCAGACCCTGCTCTGGGCACCCACAACCTGGACTCACGGCATCGGGCTCACCGGGGACCCACAGCACCGTAACTGCGCCCGGGGCTCATCCTGCAGCCAAACCGCGCCGGGAGCGGCTCCCACCGCCAGCCCCGAGCACAGCGCCCGGGGCGCAGCCGCGGGCACGGAGCGAGGCTTGGCGGGGCCGGGCCAGCAGAGCCCTCCCCGGTTACTGCCGCGGCGGGCGGACCCGGGCAGTGAAGCCGGAGAGCTCAAGGCCCCGCTCCTGCGGCGAGAGCCGGTCCCGCGGGGGGTGGGCCGAGACCCGGCCCCTTCGCTTGACCCCCCCCCCCCCCCCCCCGGTACCGGTACCGGTAACCCCCGCCGCGGCGGCTCCGAGTTCCGCCCCGCCGTCAGGGGGCGCTCTAATCCCCGCCCACCTCAGAGGATCCGGCGCCCCCCAGGCCCGGCCCGGTCCTTACCGTGACCGCCGACCCCGTTTCGCGGCGGGCTCCGCCGGGCCATGTTCCCGGGCGCTGCGGCGCATGCCGGGCCGGGCCGGGGCTCCGCGCTCCCGGTGCCGTCCGCTCCGCTCCCCTCCCGCCCCCCCTCCACCCCTCCGCCGGCGGCGCGCGGGCGGGACGTCACGACACCCCATGGCGCAAGCGCGGAGCCGTGAGGCAAATCACGATGGCGGAAGGGGCGCGGGGGTATTGCGCATGCGCGGAAGGGGGCGCGCAGCACGTGGTGGAGCCGGAGCGCTCGATTCAAGGTTTTGGTTCAAATTCACCAAAACGGCGCTAAAAGCCCCAAAAGTGCGCGGTTGTGCCCCAAGAGCAGCGGGACGGCAGCGCGGGGGCTGCTCTGGTGCAGCACAGCCACGTGGGGGAACACAGACCGGCCTTCCGCTGCTTCTGGGCTGTAAATGACGGCAGCACAACGGGCTTCTATGGGATGGTGTCCTGGAGAAGCTGCTCTCGTGTCCATGAAGACCTCACCTCCCTACAAGCATTTCAGGCTCCTGCCCCGTTTCTCTTCAGTGCATCTAACCCAGCTCACTGGCTCCATCCTAACTCCAACCTGGAAGGCCCCAGCCATCCCCTCTGCAAGAGGGACAGGCCCTGTGGGGATGAGCAAGGGCTGGAGGCCAAGGGATGGAACAGCCTAAAGAAGCAACAGCCACGCTGCACTGGGGACAGGGGGGGACCATGGCCCCAGAGGCCTCTACACAGGGAACTTCAATCTAACCTCGATAAATAAAACCAAATGTTTATTTACACCAAAGAATTCCAACACTGGATCTTTCACATATGAAGGACAAAGTATATATACACAGCAAGGGGTAGCAGGGCTGTAACGAGGGTGCTTTTTCCGTTGTCAATGATAATAGTTGTCCACAATTACTGATCTACCATTCCGGGTTAAGGGAACTCGCTCCGTCCTCTCAGTGCGTATTTACAGGACTGTGAGGTAACTGGATTCTCACCACATGGCACGTGAGGGAGGGGATGGGGGTGAAGATGTGGGATCGGACTTGGCGCAGTCTGAGTTTTCCAGCTTTAAGTAGCCACCAGCTTGAAACCTAGAGAAACGATTTAAAAGAAACAAGATACCCAAATAACAAAGTAATTTCAGAGATCCAGACCCCGGGAAGAGGGAGCTCCAGGCTGGAGCCCCGGCCTCAGAGCTGCCCAGGACCCCGAGTGAGCAGAAACTTCATCTTTTAAGACTAGAATGACATGCAGGGGGGTGAATTGGCATTGTGGTTGGCTCCTAAGGAGACATGATTCAGTCCAATTTGGGTGTCAAACATTATCTGCACTCACTCCTTTTAAGCTTTATCCCACCTCTCCATACTGGAATTGTCTCCTCAGCAGACCCTGGGCTGGGTGGCAGGCGGGACATGGGGTTCAAGTGAGTGGTACTTTAAGAATCCCCCTCCCCTGCCCCACGAAGACTTGGTTTGGTTCTGGAGAAGAGCACAATGCCCCAGGGTGTAGGCTCATGGAGGAGGAATGGTGGGAACATGAAGAGATTTCCAGTAGGATGCAAGGAAATGCTGTTGATTCAATCTGTTGTTCTTAAATGAAGAGTACTTTTTTTTTGGGGGGGGGGTTGGGGATGGGGACAGGGTGGGGAGGGAGCAACTGTCCAAGAAATATTCCAGCTGTGGGTATTTTCAGGGAATCCCCTGAGTTACGAAAAAGTTCAAGTAAAAAAAGAAAAAAAAAAAAAAATCAGCCTATAATAATTTTGTATATAATGACTGAACTACTATAAATCCACAAGCAACAGTTCAGACACGGTGCCTCCAAAGCGTTCATCCCCTCCCTTCCCCTGCCAGGCACGAGCTGCCTCCTGAGCAGGGGGTGAGGGGCAACCTCTTCCCCACCTGACCCAGCTCAGGCCGCAGGACACAGGAGCCCCTCACTACTGCTGAGCGCCTGCAGCAGCTGGCACGGGCATCCCCAGCGTGGTGGTGGCGGAGATGACGGGCGAGCCTGCTAGAGGTCCCAGGGGGGAAGGTGTTGGCACTGAGGAAATCCCTGGAAGAGAGACAGGGAAGCAGGAATTAGAGCGGCACCAGCGCAGCGCTACCCGGGACTCGGCTTCGTAACCCAAGTGCTGTCCCTTTGCAGGTTAAGTTTGCTGCTGCTCTGTTACATGTTCAGAGCTGCCAAAATAAGCTGAGATTAAAGAGCTCTCCCTGTTCTCTGCAGCCTCTGAAGAGTTGCTGAGGGGCAGATTCAGACTTCAAAACATCCAACTGCAAAGCACTTCTTAAAGCAAGACCAGAAAAACAGCTCAGGCTGCGGTGAGGCCTTATCACACTCTCCCACCCACTGCTTCCCAGCCCTCTGTGCCCTTGTCATCGGTCCCAGGAGATGATCTAATGCCCCACCCGCAGACCTCACCCTCCTGGATGCTCACAGCACATGTAAATGTCACACACCACCCAAGGAGAAGGGTCAGCAGCAGAACTGACCTGACATCATACTCGCACTGCTGACGGGAGTGCTGCCACCCGGCATGTTGGAGGAGCCCATCCGAGCCTGGTCTTTCACTATGGGATCTAGGAAGAGCAAAGTCCCCTCAGGTGATGTGGCAGCAGGCAGCAGCTGAAGCACACACTGCTCAGCTGGTCCTGACAAGCTGCCCATGGCAGGTAACATCAACCCTCGTCTACCAGAAGCTTCCACCAGCTCCAGTGGGAAGCACCCAAGAAGGTGCCAAGGAAACACCACCAGTGGGAAGTCACCGAAATGATGTGCTTTGGAGTTCAGCAAGAGGAAAAACTGAAGGACATGAAGGTAAAGTTTATCTCCTCTGCTAAGGATCTGTGTAACCGCAAAGCCAAGCCCAGAGAACGGGCGCAGCAAGCAGAGATTAGCACCAATTACAACTGTATGTCGTGTCTCTACACACATCACAAGAGCTGTTGTGTCACTAAGCTCCTTGTCTTCTGTCAGCTGTTCCCAACTTCTGCACTAACTCTGTTCCAGGGTTTAAAGGGTGGCTACAAAGACAATGGAGACTCCTGTTTGACCAGGAGTCACATGGCAAAGAGCAGGGGGACGGACACAAGTTATTTCTGGGGAGACTCCAGTTGGACACAAGAGGAACATTTTTCCCACTGAGAACAATCAGCCACTGGAACAACCTCCCCAGGGAAGTGGTGACTCCTCCAGCACTGGTCATGTTTGGACCAGAAAGGTTGGACCAGATGATCCTTGAGGTCCTTTCCAACCTGGGATTCTGTGATTCTTCATTTCCAGCTGCAGGTAAATAACACTGCCACCTGAGCTGTGACAACCTCCTTCTGCCTCCCAAACCTACTGCATCAGAGAACTGAACTCCAAATGCTGCCCTTCCTCACATGGAGTTCAGTACAAGCTCTGCCTCTGTCAGGACACGAGTTAATTTAGCTGTTTGTCTCACAGCCTTCAGCTTTACTACTGCTCAGACTTGCAAAACATTTCACTTGAACACCTGCCACAGGCATAACACAGAACTGTGCTGGTTGTTGGTGACCCAAGTCTGTTCAGCAGCAAGGAAACAAAAAGAACTGAGGAAATACTCATTTTGCATTATTATAGCTGCTTCAAACCCCTAAATAGCAAGATTTGTGAAAAGCAGCAAGTGGTTAAAAGCATTTAACAGCAAAGTACATTTTGTTTTGCAGGGCCAAGACCTGAATATACCATTCACTAAGGCACAATTAGGAACATAAGTTGTTAAGAGGGCCTTGACAAACCAGAGTGTTCTGGGTTTATGCACCCCACCACCTGCTGAAGTTAGCCTGGGTTTAGCTGCCTGAACACAGGGCTGCCCATTCACTGGCCTGACTTGGGTGTATAACACCATTTCCTCAGCTGGTGTGGGTGGCAGCAGTCTACTTGCTCCACCACAGAGGCATCCTTGGCTCCAGTGCAATTCCTTGCAGACCAGGCTCATTACGCTGCTCTTCTGAGCTCTTATCTGCACAACCTACAGGGACAGAGATTTCCCAGAGGCAGAACTCGTTGAACAACCCCTGTACTTACAGAAGTAGGGGTGCTCCATGGCTTCTCTCGCTGTGAGTCGTGACTGGTGATCGTATCGCAACAGCTTGTCTAAGAAATCCAGAGCTTCTGGACTCACCAGATGCTGGTTCTCACTGTGAACAAAGCGCTCCCATCGCTTACGGGAGTGTCTGCAGGGAAGAGAGACCCCGGTCAGGCAGGGAAGAGGACAGCAGTGCCAAAAGTCACCCTTCTGAAGAGCAAGAACTGCTCAGACGTCCACCTCTGCTCAGTGTGGCAGCCCCAGGGCTGAGCTGTACCAGTGCACAGCAGCAGTACACCACAGCTCCACAGGGCGGCACGAGGACTCAAGGTCAGGATGGATTTACAGGCCTAAAATCCAGTTTCTCTTCCTCTTGTTCCCTCAACATCAGTCCCTTGTGGTTTGGTTTGTGTCACACAAAATATGAGGGGGAAAAAAGACACAAATGCCATCTTATGCAGCACCTGATCTTTTGCACTTAGAGGACTGTTTTGTTTTCTCCCCCAGAACACTGGAGAGAGCATCTGCCCTTCATGCTTTATGCTCCAGCAGTTCATTTACTGCCTAGATGACATGAAAAGCCCTTCCTCAAGTCCATTTCCAGAAAAAGGACCAGGGGAAGCACTGAAAAAAGTGATCAAAGGCACAGTGACAGCTCTCAAGAATCTTGGCTCTGGTATCTCCCAAAAGCATGAGGTTCAGTTTACTTCAGGGGCTGCTGACAAAGCAGTAGCTCTTTGGGTCTACCAAGAGCTCATGAGCTACTCTGGAGCTTGGCTCACCTCCCCAAGATGTCATTGAAACGTGGATCCAGCTCGATGTTGTACTTGTCAATGTAGTCATACAGATCTTCTGTTCCCAGCACCTTGGCTATCCTCACCAGCTGGGAACAAACAGACCAAAGTCACAAAGGCAGGAGCACGTTCCCTTGGGAGCCTGAATGTGGTCTCAGTGTCTGAACCAGCAGCCACAGGGTCACCATGACCATGCCTCCACTCACAGCTGGAACTCGGTAACCCCATAGCCAGGAGGGAGCTGCACACCCCAACAGCACTAACACCCAAGACCCTGCAACACCAACTCCCCTGGTAGCAAGATAATACTCAAAAGCAGTGGGGGGAAGGCAGGAATAACTGGTCATGAAAACAGAAACTCTGCATCTTTCACGTGCAGGGTGAAGCACCAGCCTGGAGGGCTCCAGAATGGAGGTTTGAGAAGAGAAGGTCACTGATTTTCCAGGACTGCCCACCAGTCAGGTGCAGAGCACGTGCTAAAGGTTTAAGTATAAAAACTCTGGCCTAAAGGCAGCACAATGTTTTCAGACTCTAAATAAAACAGCACCAAATGCAGAGTTTCCAGACAGAGGGGAGGGAGGATGGACAGTGCCAGGGGTCTGCACGTAACAGAGCCTCAGGAATAGTCAGTCTGTGTGCCAGAACCCCCAGCATTAATATTGACAGAACTTTCCCACATACTGAGTAGCTCAAAAGCACAAAGTGTAAATGCCTGTCTATGTCACTGGTTAGATAATCCTGCACACTCGAGAAAAGGAACGTGGCTTCAGACTGAGTAAAGAAGCCATTAGCAAAATGCTGAAATTCTTCTTCAGATATCCTGATAGAAGTGCAAGGAGGAAACCTTCATTGTGCTGAGAGTACTCTGACTGCAGGACCAGCTCTCACCTGATCATAGTTGTCATGGCCATGGAAAAAGGGCTCCTTTCGGAATATCATACTAGCCAACATGCAACCCAAGCTCCACATGTCCAGACTGTAATCATACATCTGTACAGAACCAGAAGGACAATTCAGTGTCTAGTGAATGAAGCAGAACAGACTCTCAATACTAACAGGGTCCCCCCTCCCTCCAGTGATCCAAGGGAAGCATCACAATGGGAACCAAAAGAAATGGACTCCACAGCATGCATGGACAGGTGAGGAAGTGCCTTCCTTCAGAACCAGCATGGAGCAGAAGCCACCAGTATCACTGCTATTTCCAGCCCATAATGCAAACTGCCATCAGCTGCCGGGATGGTTTTAGCTTTATTTAGTCCATGCAGTACTGGCTGTTCCCACAAGGGCTTCGTTTCATTCCTGGACTTACTGCAAACACAGCCCTGCTAAAACCACATTCAGCATTTGTATTCCCAGCACCCTGATGACAGTTCTGCAGCTCTTCCTCACGTCCTGAGACTACTCAATAGTTTCTTTAACTCAGCAGCTTTACAGCCACTGCTTTCTGTGATGCATTTCGGAATGGGCTGTCCTTAGCTCCAGGTCTCCAGGAACCTGAATTTCTGGTTTGCTGCCTCGAAATGGCACAGACTTCCCATATGGAAGCTAGTGACAAATCCCAGTATTCCTTACCTGATAATCTACAAGGAGTTCAGGTCCTTTGAAATATCTGGAAGCCACTCTGACATTGTACTCTTGTCCAGGGTGGTAGAATTCAGCCAAACCCCAGTCTATTAGTCTAAGCTAGAAATGGTAGAAAACAAAGATCAAGGGATGCTTAAGAGTTCCATTTTACCCTTCTCCACCCCTGTGCAGATATCTGCTAGCATCACTACGCAGAGGTACCCAAAAGGGATCCTAGCTTGCCAAGGGAACAGCAGGCCCCCCTCCCCACCCTCCAGCCAACCCATGCTACCTTTCTGTGCTCATGGTCAATCATGACGTTGTGAGGTTTGACATCTCTGTGCATGATTCCCATGCTATGGCAGTAATCTAGAGCCTGGAGGTGACACACAAAGAAAGAGATGCTGCAGTCACAAGGACCTTTCAAGTTCAATGATAATTCAGAGCTATTTCCACATAAACCCAGTCTAACCAGACTGCCTGTAGGGTTATATCCTGGACTAGGCTTGGGGACCACAGACACGACTTCTAGAGCTCCCTCTCAAAGGGGTGTCACAGCAACAGAAGTGTTTTCACTTCACCTCATGCGCTTCCTCATACAAATGGCATTTCAGAGTCCCTAAGAGCACAGTCACTAGGCACTGATCACACACACCTCCCTTCTCCAGACTCCCAAGGAGAGAATATTTGTTTCAGAAGAATGGATAAATACATTTAACTTTACATTAGAGCACAAAAGCAGCCAGCAACAGCTTAGAATCCCCACTAGTGGGATAACAACCACCTCTACAGGATTAGCTGAGCGCAAATCCTACAAACCAACCAACAAAACACTAACTTACCTTCAAAATCTCATACATGTAGAATCGAATATCATAATCTGTTAATGTCTGGTACAATTGCTGTGGGACACAAACACATCCTGTTAGTGTTCAACACCTCAGCAACACCCCATCCCTGCCAGCCCTGTGCTCTGCTGCTGTGCTTCTCCAAACCTCCTTGAAGGCACAGGACAAAGTTTCCCAAGCTCCTCTGATCCCACTCCCAGCTCATCAGGCTGTTCCTAACCCTCACCCTTACAAATCAACAGAAACAGCTGTCCACATTTAAAGTGCTTCCAATAGTTATACACCGAGCATAAAAGCAAGATGTTTCATAAGGACAGCACTGACAGGCCACAAGGTAACATTTTGTTCTGGAGGTTAGAATGTCACTTGGAACCTCCTGTGGCAAAAGGGAACTGAAGGACTAGTTACAAACTTCTGCATTTACCTTTGAAAGACAGTTACTATGTTGGAAGGAAGTGATCAACCAACCCACCTGCCCATTACATACTTGCCTTTCCCCAGAAACACATTAAAAAGAGGCTTTCAAATGGAAAACATGAGACTGTACCTTAAAGTCTGTGTTGTTTACGTGTTCAAAAACCAAAGCGGGTGTTCGAGACTGCAACAGAGAGAACAGGGTTCAGCTGTGGTTAAGATGAGATAACATGTTTGCACTTAGGATAACAAGTTAAATCATTTCTACTCCCAAAACTGGTAGAAGCCCCTTTGCCTTGGATGCACTTGATTCCCCTGAGACAAAAAGCAGAGGCAAAGCCTGCAGCACTGTTAGCAGAATGCATTAACTTGTCTCAGGTCACTGGTATCTCACCCTTACAGCAAGGGGCTGAAGGCACCTGCAGGGGCAGGGCCCTCTAAAAGGAGTTAATCAGATTAAGAGCTGATCTGATTAAGCAGTTCAAAAGCAGGATTTAAGAGCAGGGGAAAACAAAGAGCCAGATCAGAGCTGAAGTCAAACACAGCAACTTCACCATAACCCCAGAGGACCCTTTAAGGTCCCTCCACACTCACCACAGGATCTTTTACTATATCTGCAAGGGTGATGATGTTGGGGCCGCCCCGCAAGTTCTCTAGGATCTTAATTTCACGCTTGATTTTCTTCTTTTTAACAGGCTAGAGAACAGAAAAACGACAAGTAAGACAGAGCATTGCAGTAAATGGAGGCCAAGAGCTCAACAACCACACCACAAAGGTGGTGACTGCAAGTCAGCAAAATACATTGGAGCCTTTGCAAGTGAAGTTCAAACACATCTTCTTGTTACCTGACTGCTCAGTATCTGCAGTCTCCTTTCTAATCACACAACCCTGACAGCTACCAACATTGGTTTCATATGAAGGAGGGTCAGGAAGATGGTTTTTATCTCTTGCCCAATCCCCAGCTCACCTTGAGAATTTTAACAACTACTTTTTCATTATTTGTGATGTTGATGGCTTCAAACACTTCGCTGTATTTGCCTCGGCCTAATTTCCGCACTAGCTGGTAGTCATCTTGATTCCTGTGGAGATAAGAAGTTAAGAGTTCCAAAGAGCTCTGGCATTTGCATCACGATTTACAAACTGGTCCTTAACACAAACTCACTGCCTCACCTTCCAGACAAGGTGGATTAATGAGTGTCTTCATCTGAGCACAGTGATTCAGAGTTAGGAGAGGAGCAGGGAGTTTCTACTTGCCCAAGTTAGGTTCAATCCAGAACTGATTTCTTCCACAGCAGGTAACATAAGCCTGACTATGCATCTCAGCAGCGGCAAACTCGACCTATCCCTTCCACTGGTCTCTACATTTTTCCTTGTATAATGTTGTTAAAAATCAACACAGCCAGAAAGACCAGAACTTTCAGCACTGGCTTGTTTAAAACCAGAGCAGGCACAAGCCACCACTTCAGCTCAGCACACTCTGTACACTTCAGAACCCAGGAAGCACCACAAAGCTAAGGGCAGAACATAGCCCAGGCTCTGCTATATAGAATGGGGAAGGCAGAGCTACAAAGAATGGTGTCACTGCTGGCTGATTCTTGGACAGTTCAGTCATGAGCTCAATTTAGGCACCTCCTTCCTTCAAAAAGCAGCAGACATCTCTTCCAGTCACTCAGAGAGCTGAGCAATAAGTCACAAAATAGCAGGTACCTATTTAAGTCTGCTGAGTGTCTTCACCCACTCCAGGCAGAGGCAGCTTCAGGCTTTTTACTTCTTTTCAACCCTGATGTTTAGATTGTTTCAGAACAAGATTTTCTTCCCTCTGAAAGGGGCCATTTCCTGACTCCCTGCAAACACTCTTCAACCCAAACTCTTTAAGGAAGCTGCTAAAAACATCCCTGCACTGTTGGGGATTTCACATTTTGATAAGAAACACTTGGGAAGCAAGGCTGTGATCCCAACACTTGCCATGCACACAGGCAGCTGCTAAGGAGCAGGATAAAAGCTTGACACTGCTGGTGCCTGAACTCCCCATGCACTAAATGCAGGATCCTGCAGGGATTGATCCTGGTCCAGGGACATCCAGAGACTTACCCCCACTCAACAACATGCGACTCATAGTCCCAGTACTCCCGGGGTCTGTGTGTGTTCACATCCGTGTAGACTCTGGCCCTGCTCGGCACGGGTCCCGACATATCAGACAGGTTGGCAGGTGGGAATGATGGGATGGCAAATCAGAGGCTGCACTGGAGGATAATGGCCTTGGATTCTTCCACCTGCAGAGAGAAAACCAACCAGAGGGTAAAAACCTCAAGATACTATAAAAATATTCAGGTTAATCATTAAAAGCTGCTGAGGAGAACCTGGAGCCCAGCCACGAGCTGGGATCACCTGCCAGAGCCTGAAAACTGTTTGTCTGCTCCCCCCCTATGCAGGACGGGATCACTTGGCAAAAGTAACCCCCCAACTTTGCAACTTCAGCATGGATTTTCCAAATGAGGGTTACAAAGAGAACCTTCCCAAAGGGAAGAACTGCAGGGTGTGTAGCTGCAGACTAGACTCACTCCTTCCATCCAGCTCCAGAGTGAAAGCAACAGCCATGGGCTAAACCTCTCCCCATCCAGGAGGAATGTGCCTGCCATGGAACAAACACACCTCATTCACTGCAGACCACACTATCACTTCTTGCAAGGCACCACTGAACGATGCAGCAAAGGGGTGACAGACCAACAGGTCACCTGCACAACCTAAATGAAGCACTTTCTGAAGTTTCAACTTCTAGAAGGACCAATTTTCATCTAAATCAGAACTTTGGGATTTACCGGCAATTCTTGAAAGGACCAAAGCCTTTGTGCTCACACACAAAGGTTTGTGTGGCTATAGCGAGTCCTTCTGTGCAAAGAACAACCAGCAGCAAGGCAAGAAAGGCCACTGTGAAGACCTTAAGGCCAGTTACCAACCATTCAGAGACCCAACGGCCTGAGGATGCTCAGAGCACTTCACAGCAAACAGAGGCGGGCAGAAGAATTTGACTGGGATGGGGCACCAGTTTCAGTCACAACTTTCTGCAGTCGTGACATTAAGAGACAGCAGCATCTGTGTTAGACATGGTGATTTACCCACACACAGAAGAAAAACTCTGCTGCACGTCTAAAGAGGTTTCTTTGCATTCTGCTTGTGCACACTGCATTACTGAGACTAGTCAAAATGACTCAAAAAGAAAGCTACTGTATGCCACAAACACCCTAATTTCTGAACACTTATCAGGAACTTAGTGCAGTTTTATACCAACGAATAGCGCCCTACCTAAACCAAAAGCAGAGGCTCTGCACCTCTCAGATCCTTCCCAAGTGAAAGCCAACATATTTTTAAGCATTCAAGCACAAAAATCTCTTTGTCAGCTTTCAAAATAACCCACGAGGAAGGAAGCAGCATCGGAGCATGAAAGAGCATTGTTCAGGGTGCAGCATGTGGCAGAGCCTGCATGGCCTTGTTTAAAGAAAGGCTCTTGAGCAGCAGGGCAATAACCTAAAGACATAGAATGTAGGTATTTGCTGTGCCAATGTCATCCCTCCACAGAAACAACCACCAGGGTGCAGGAGGAGGTTAACAGCCACATTCATCAGAAAGATCCAGAATCTACTCAGTTAGCTCAGGCTATCGGATACATCACACCAGAAGGAAATTCTAGAAGCAAAATCCTGCTCTACTGGCATCATTTGAGGTCTGCAGCACTGCAGTCTGCTGCAAGGACCACAGCTACAAGCAGAAGATGGTATATGACCTGGGGGATGAAGGTCTGATGTCCTTCACCACGAGCCACAGCCTGACCAGCAACCGGCTCTGCATCTGGGAACACAAACATGAGGTCTCCTTCTGGTATGGACCAAACCTCCATGGACCTCAGGTTAGTTTTTGACCTACTGACACACAAACAGCGCTGAGGGCAGCTCTGGGTAGAGAGGGGCTGAGGTAACACAGTCCCAGGGTCAAAAGGGACAGGACACTGTTCCAAAGCCCACCGTGGAGGTGACTGAAGGCCACCCATCCATCCTCAGCCCAAGCAAGGAAGGATGGGGCACTGCAGCCAGGTTCAGCTAATGGAAGAATATGAAATATGACTAAATACTCTATTCCTGGACAAATGTTAGTCCTGTAACAAATTACACTTTCAGAAGATGAGGCAGCAATCATCTGAGACCTCAAACCATTTATGTGGCATGACTCAGACCCGTAGAAATTAGATGTATATTCCCAAAACACACTTTGGCCTTAACAGCACCTGAGTTCACTGCACCACTTTAAGGACAGTGAAATTTAGTGGATTTCAGAGTTTATGTTTCCCCTCATTCCATGTGCTTCTGGCAGGAGATGCCCAACACTCTTGTGTAGGAATTAACCCAACACCTCAGTTGACTTTTGATTTGAGCTTTTCAGCACAAGTGGGTATCGGTGAGAACACGTGGCTGCTCCCCACCCAGCCCAGCCTGGGTTCAGCATGGAAAAAAACAAGAAAGAAAAAGAAAAATCAATCACATTATCTAAAGGCAGATCAAATTGCAGAGTGGTTCTTACTCTGTCACGTAGCTCCAGCCCAGCACTGCCTGCACGTTGTAAGAGAAGGGCTTTTTCAGGAAACCATCGACTGCAGCTTCTAAGAACAGCACACAATGCCTGTGTAGGGAGGTGGGTATTATTGTCTGCTGTTCTCTCTACAGGAAGGGGAGAGTCTGCATAGATCATTTGTGTTTCAGGCAAAGACAGTACATGCATCTACACTTACCCTGCCCCAGAGCTGCTCGAACCGCTCAGGAATTTGTATGTATTTTGCTCTCCCTGTCCCCAGAGGGGGATAATTTTGCAGAGGCTCCAAAAGCTCTTTGGCAGAAGGGACTGACACAAATAGGGACAAATAATGGGGACAGGTGTGGTCGTGGAAAAGTCAGTTTAGCTCCAGTTTAAAGGCAGAGAACATACAGTGTGAGCAGTGATTGCACCTACATGAGTGTCCTGAGCTTGTTATGAAAGATGAGTTCTGCAGAATCCAAACAGAACATGTCATTTATTCATTCCCACATTAATGACAGGATCACAGAATCATTTATATTGGGAGAGACTGCTAAAAGTAACCCAGCTAAAGGAGATTGAATTAGATGAGGTTGCCATGTGCAGCTCAGCCTTGAGCATCTCCAAAAAGCCAAAATGAATCTTTGAGAGTTTTAATTCTCTGGCAGAGAAATGCTGAACTGGAAACAACCACTTTGAGGCAATAAACCAGAGGTCACAGAGAGAGGAAGACAAAGCTGCCAGTTACCACCTGCCACGAGCTGCTCAGTGCTAAGGTTTGCCTGTGCAAGGCCAGAAACCAGGTCCTGTGGTGTAGCATTCGTGGTGACCACCTTGGGAAGACCGTCCCCAATAGCACTCACATTGTAGCTGCAGCAAATGAGCACCAAGGAAAAGTTTCAGTGCCAGGTTTTCCCATAGACCTTCCCTTAAAAACACATTTGAGTATTAGCAAACTGATAAGTAGCTCATCTCTTGCAGAGCACCTTATCAAGAGCACCCCAGGAGACCCTGCTCATCCCATGTATAAACAGCTCACACTAACACAGGCGAATGCACCCCGCGTGCACTGCTGATAGTGAGCAGCCGGGAGACAAACCCAACTGCACCACCACCACAGAGGAACCTTTTAGTTGAAGGGCTACTAATTAAAAGAGATCAGTTCTTAGGTTTGAGTTATTCAAAGATCAGCCTGAGCAGCTTTGCACACCATGTTTTGTACCTAAAGCTCAGGAAACCAGGAAAAAGCCTCCCAATGTTCACTCCGAGTTGGATTTTTAAACCACTTTCATTTAAACCCCTGTTAAAACCTCCCTCCTTTTAAAAAGGAGTTTCATCACCCTTAAAATGCACTCTAATCCCAGTGGCAATCCCACAGAAGACTTGATTTCTTGTGGAGTATCCATACATACAGCACCTAAACCCAATTCCTACAGGAATCTCTTGTGCCTTCTGTCCTTCCAGATGCATCCACTCTGAGCAAGCAGCAACAAAACACAGCTAAGGAATTTGCACATTAGTTTGAGAAGCACCTGCTCACCCTCTAGTAAAATTCACTTCTTTTTAGTCAAGAGTAACTGAGATACTGGAATATTACTTTTCCTCCTTTTAAATGGAAATGCTTTTGGCACAGAGCACACAGTTACTCACTCAGAACCCTACACCTAGGAAGTGGCACCAGTATGACACAGCACATAGACTCTGAGCGAGCTGGAAGCCAAGAGCTTCCCAGAACACTGGTGTCCCAGGGAACCTGGCCAAGCAATGACCTTTGTGGATCAGATGTGGAGTGTAAATACTGCACCCAGGAACACGAGCGCCGCTTGACACGGCCTCCCTCTGGAACGCTGCTAACAGCACAACCTGCCCTCGGTGCGAGCAGTGCCCTACCAGGAGTTCCAAGTTCATCCCAAGATTGAACCCAGGGAGCCACACCAATGTGGTCACTATCCTCCCCCGCCCCGATTCCACCAAGACTAAAAGAGCCATGACTATTTCCAACACTTTACCAGTTCCTGACAGACTGTCCCACACAACCTCATGGAGAAAGGGACACACAGAGCTCTGTCAGACAGGGCTGGAGATTCCCTCTCACTTCTACTTTCTCCATGTAAGCTCATTACCAACAATGACTGTGAAACACTAAGGCTGTGAAGAGGCCAGGCCAGGCAGCAGCCGGGTCATTCTGTGACTAGAAAAGCTCTCTGCCAGCTGAGAGGAGCAGGGTTCCAGTAAATAGTCCGGAATCAGAAGCTTACTCCTTTCTTTTACCCACAAGTGCAACTGAGATGTCCCCTTTCACAGCAACAGCTTAAACCCAGGCTCTGAAATCCCGAGTGCACAATGTGCTCTGTTAGTGAGTGAGAGGAAGCATGACAATTAGCACATAAAATTGATTATCATTTCCTTCACACAGCCCATTGATCCCAGGGCAGGAGCACTCGCTGCTGCAGAGTGTGGGGAGTATTTAGTACGGGACAGACACCACTGAAATGAAAAGATCAAGACATGCTTCAACACCAGGGTCCAGCCTGCTGCTGGCAGCCAACACCAATCAAACCCCAGCTCACCTTTAAAGGAAGAATTAACAGTAACCAACTTTACAAAACCCCATGTTGTAGCTCACAAAAGAAACCTGATTTGTGTGTTTCCACGATGCTGGAGCTGCAGCAATGCCATGTGGAACAGATGACCTCCACAAGTCCCTTCCAACCTATATTTTTCCTCTGATTTTATAGCTGAAACAGAAACAAGCCTGGATTAACACAACTGACATTTTACACCCTTTCCTGGAGACCATTCGCCTACTAAAGGGAATTCAGTGGCAGAAAAGGGGATTTTAAAATATGATTGAGCTAAAAAAAAGCTTAGGTTTGAAATCCAACTTTTCTCTTGGTGTTTTCTTGGAACAGCACATTCTGCTCCAACTACATTCTTCCACCAAAATCATCTTCTAGGTTTCTCTTAAAGAGCTGCTTGTGTCTGGCTGTGGAGAAACAAATCATGATATACAACGACCTCACCATTCTCTTAAACACGGCATAACCAGCCATTAGGGAAAACAGTCGACTGCTTTAGTTGAACTGGAAAAAACATCTTGGAGTAATTCTGCATTAGCAACATCCTAAAACCAAACTGGTTCCTCCTTCACCTTCACTGATTCCTCTCTGAATTCCCCACAGCTCCTGCCAATGAAGGGGTCAATCTCACAGGGAGCATCACTGCCTCAAAGTCACAGGACTGCCCACGGGATGGTTTTACTCTAACCCCATATTCTGTGATCACTTCCATACTTGGGGAAAACTTCACTCTCCCACTCCACAAGCGCAGAGGGTGGTGTCTGTCACGTCTGACGCTCCCCAGGCTGCCCTGGCAGTGTCACTGCAGCCACATGCTCTCCCAGCAGCAGCTCTGGCACAGTCCTCATTGTTGTGCAGACCTGGAATGGCTGAATTTTAGTGGAGCTTTCACAGACCCTCTGCAGGTCTGCAGCATCTCAGCTTAGTTTGGTGTTCAAAGCCCCAGTACTGGCAGCAGCACACGTACCTGGGGTAGGACAGGCACGACCTGCTCCAACGGCAGATGCCAGCGATGGGAATGCTCCTCACTCCATCTCCTAAGGGACTTTATACAGAACAGTCAACTCTGAAAGCTCCTCTCATCCCACTTCTCTCCAAAACCCATGGACCATCCTCATACTCCAGAGCTAGGCCAGCCCACAGCACACAGAGCAAACGGAAAGCTTTTCCCAACTTAAACACATCAGAACTGACCTGGAACGAGGCTGTGGGGACATCACCAAGACACCCAAGCTCCAGCAGCCAAGTGCAGGCTCTGCCACCATTCCCAGCCACCCCAGTGGATATCCTCATTGCCAATGCTGCAGACTCCTGACACAACCACATAAAATGGCTACAAAGGTAACCAGGAATTGCCAAGCTAACCTGTTGGAACACACATACCAAACCAGAAACCAATGGCAGCACTCTTCTGGGGCATCCTCCTCCCACCCCGAGAGCTTAGGCTGAGCAGGGAGCGCAGGGAAGGTGGTGGGGTATTCAAAGGCACATCTCTTTAGTCTGACCTAAAGCCAAAGAGAACCTGCAAGGACTTCAACGGGAAGAGATTCTTTTTCTTCTAAGGCACTAATAAAAGTAAAGCTCCTCCTGCTGGGGCTTTGGACAGTATTTTCTAAGAACCATGTCTGAGATCCAGGGCCACCGGAGGACTTCCTGAGGGCTCACCAAGGGGAATGTTCAGCCCCATTCCAGGCTCTTCCCAGATGACATTAGGTCAACTGGCAGCATCCTCTGGAAAGTTCTCCCTTCCTCACCACTGCTAAGGGACACAGTAACTGTTTTCCTCACTAATGAGCACACACAGGGTAGGACAGGCCAATCCTTCAGCTGATTTGTCTCCTGTGGTTCATGGAGAAAGAGATTCAGCTAGAACTGAACTGAACCCACCAGCTGTAAAGTTACATGTTTTTCATTGATCTGATCATGCTATTCCTAGAGGCAGGAGCTGACACAAGAGCTGAAGGATAAACCCGGTGCAAACCCCTGCCAGGAAGCAGAAGTTCTACCATAATTCTCTCAAAACCCATTAACACAAGATGAACACAAGCATTCTGACAAATGGGAAAAATAAGCTATTAAACTCCCCAAATCAGTATCTATGATGTATCAACACATCACAGCAAGTGCTGGATTTACGCAGCCTTAGCCAGGTGAGGTGAAGTTACTAAGATTTCAGTACTTCACACCCATATTTTGGAGCCTGGCTGAACCTGGTGAGCACAACAGCCACCACACATGGTAACTGAGCAGGGAAGTGAATGCTGAACCCACCCTCACCATGCCAACCCACAGCACTGCCAGCCATGGGCAAGGACACGTCTGTCCATCTCCACAGCATCGTTCTTCACACCCTGCAACCACCCCTAACGCCACTGTGCAGCATCAAGTCATGGCTTAGGATCAGGATGTATTTATACGCTTGGTAGGATGCATATGTTGGACATATGCCTGGATGCATCATTCCAAACTACCCAGATTTAATGTGTAAACTCAGCTGAAATGGATCTGAATGCCACACAACTTCCTCAGCAAGCAAAAACCCTCCTCTTCTTTCTGGAGTACAAAGTGCTGCTTGATCTGCAGAAAGGAAGGCTGGAATTCCAACAGCACACTGGTAACAGAGAGAGAAATCTGTGACAAAACTCACAAGAGGAGGAACACTGCAGGAGCTCGTGCTTTGCCACACTGGACATTCATCTGTGGTGTGTGTCCACACTCTTCCATTTGCAGAACACTACAAGTAAAGATTTACTGACAACTGCTGCACAGGTGTGCAAAGATATGCTGAGGAACTGCCTCCCCCTTGGCAGGACACCAGGGCAGAGGCACCACTGCTCCTCCCTGGACATGCAGAGGACTTTAGGGCACTTCTACATCACATGGTGAGACCTCTCCCACCCAGTTCTGGCTCTTAACCCAGTGTTAACCCCCCAGCACACGCTGGACTCTCCCAACATGTAGCTCAACTAAAACCAAGATGAATTTACCCCTTGGTTACTCAGAAGGTGCAAGGGCAGAGGCCACTTTTCTGCAGAAGCAGACTGAATAACTCCATTTTCTAGCACTGCTGTTAATACTCAAAGACACGACCATGCCACTGGCAATCTGAAACCAAATTTCACTTTGGCCCCAAATTATTTTCCACTTCCATCTAGTACATTTTAGTCAGCATCCACTTCAAGTGAATTGCCATAAACTAATGCAGCCATTAGATCAAGCAGCTGGAGTGGTTGCTCTGTAATACTCCTTACATTCAGATGGGTCATAAGGACCATGGCACAGGGTGCCCAGAGAAGCTGTGGCTGCCCCATCCGTGGCAGTGTTCAAGGCCAGGTTGGACACAGGGGCTTGGAGCAAGCTGCTCCAGTGGGAGGGGTCCCTGCCCGTGGCAGGGGTTGGAGCTGGAGGTGTTTTAAGGTCCTTTCCAACCCAAACCAGGCTGGGTCTCTATGATGATTCTAATCTAAATCTGAGAATCTAATTCTCAGAAATACTCTGGCAAATTAAAGCAGTGAAATGGTGACCTCCTGACCAGGAGTCAGTGGTGGTATTGTCTCGAGTCCACAAAGGACTCCAAGTCTCCCTTCTGCTCCTCAGCTTCCCAAAGCAGCAGCATGAAAAAGATAATAAAATCATTTGTTTGAATAAAACTGTCCAGAGCAGCCTGAACAAAGGAGGGGGAAGACTCGTGTCAGACTCATGTGGCTGCTGCTCCGCTGCTGAGGCCTGGCCAACAGGGGATATCTGTGAATCATTGATCCTACAATCACATCAACAGCCCCACTTCTCACCAGCCTTTCCCCCCCAGCAGACAGGTCTGGCACCTTGGAGGCAAACAGGGTCCAAAAAGCAGCTTGTAAAAACCCTCTGCTTTCAGCAACAGTTCAGGAAGCTGCAGTCTCCTTTCCAAGGCGGTTTTTCCAGGTCCAAAGGAGAACTCTTTTTCTGCAATCAGGTTCTGTAAGTTCCAGGAGTCAGCTCTTGGAAGCCCCTGGAAGGAGATATCCAAGCTCAGAAAAGTTATCCAAGAGTCGTCTTGCAATGAAACCAGGGAATGTTTGCAGCCACACTGAGGCACAGACCCTCCCGATCTTCCACCTGGGGGCTCATTCTCTCCAGACCCTGATGGAATAAGATCTAAGATGGCCTCAACCTCACCCTGAGTCTATAGAACAGACACCCCAATGTAAGTAAGTGAGCAGTGGGGGAGCACTGGAGATGCCAGGTCTGGTAACCCAGAAATAAAGCCCTGCCTCCTCAGAAATGTGCCATGAAATTAATCACACCACCACAATGTCACCCATTTGCTTCTGCCTTCCTTTGCCCGATTCCTCAGAGGGCACGAGGACAGACGAAAAGAGAAAATTAGTTCTGTAAGGAGAAAATGCAGGGAAAAATTCCAGCAGAAGGTGTGAGGACAGCAGACAATAAGGCAGGAGAAGTTACATCCCTGTCCCTTTTATCACAGCTTTCCCTCTACAATTCCACACATTTATAACCACCTTTTGGCTTCCTGCATTCCCAGGATTTCCACCTCAAACCCACATCAAGCCTGTGCACCCAACCTGCGCTATCTGAAAACACCCAAATCTCAAGTACTGAAGTTTTTCCATGTCTCGCCTTCAGGGACCAGCATTTTCCCAGCTCCTTCCCCAGCAATTCCCCATTCCTGCGTTTGCATCCTCATTCTCAATGTTGCATCAGCTGCTTTCCAGTAAACAAGAGCCATTCAGTGCCCCTGCACACAACTAAACTCTGCTTCATGTCATGAACGGTTTCCCCATCATGGTCCAGCTTCCTCCACGTGTGCTAGAACCTACCATCAATTTCATTCTCCCTCATCCAAGCAGCCACCTTGCCAACAGATCCCATCCCTGCTCCATCAGTGCCCTGGCAAACCAGAGAACTTGCTCTGAAGCTCCCACTTGGAGATCTCCACTTTCTCCTTCAGCACCTGACCCTCTCACCACATTTTTCCATGCTCTGGGCCTCATGCCCACCCTTGTGTTACCCAGTTATTCAGCACAGCAGCTCCCTTCTTTGCTATGGCCAACGCTGAGACAACATTAGCCTTCTCACTGCAAGGCTGATGCTACCCTCCTCACTGCAGGGTTGATCCCATGAGGGCAGCAGTGCCTCTGCAAGCTCGCTGAGCTCTCTGCTGCAGCCCATGCTGAGCACCACAGGACAGGGAGAGGTTTCACTGTTAGTGAAACCAGGTAACAGAGAAAGAAAGGTGAAAAAGGGAACTCTCTCCACTGAAGGATCACCGCCTACACCAGAGATGTACACGTTTCATACTCAATGGTCTGGATCTTTCCATAAACCCTTCTCTGGCAGGAGGCACTGAAGAACTGGACTTCCAGCCACGAGGCATGGGTGGATCTTCTGAGGGTGAAAGTGGACTGTTCTGAACATGGGATTGGATGCTCCCAGTGGGAGCCACATCCCATTCCAGTTTTCTTTCCCCGGTTGCAGACACAGCATGTGCCTCCACAGAGGATGTGCCACTGTTCCATGTTTTACCCACACATGACACAGTGCTTTAAGAACTGGAACACTGTCCTAATCCCAGTTTTAGGCCTGACTAAGGAGCTGATCAAGCTTCACACTTTCCCTAAATCCTGTATAATCTTCCCAAGCTCAGTCTCCCCTCTCCCAGCACGAGCATCACCCTTTTCTATGTCACACCAACATGAACAATGCACAGGACAAGCAACTTCCCTGCACCAACCCAGGGAATCCAGGATCCACACTGGCAGAGTCACGTCCACACCCAGGCCACTGCCAATCCAGCACAGGACCAACTCTGAGCCTCAATATTCTAAGCAACTATTAGGTCTTTGAAAAGAGAGAGTCACAGCCTAAATCACTGCCTGCCCCCCAGCTGCTGTCTCCCTGTGCTTCTACCTCTAACGGGTGCTCACCTGAAGCCACGGAATGAGCTGCTCTTCCCAAAGGAGGGCAGAGCTCACACAGCCCAGGTGAGCACACTTTGGGGGCCGTGCATGGCACCCGGGTTCAATGCCTGGCATCGAGCTGCAAGAGCAGCTCTGCAAAACCCCAACCCAGCTGCAGGCTGGCCCAACACTGACCCCACACCACTGCAGGCCTCTGGCACGTACCAGGGCTCAGCGAAGGCACCAAGGGGCAGCCCAAGGCACAACATGGGCTCAGGACCCATAAATTTAGAATGCAGAAATGAGGCACTTGCCCTCATGAGTCTCTGCATAGATCAACCCCTGCTGTCAGCAGAAAACATACCAGTGAGTGAGTGTTTATAACCCAAGCTCTATCGCTTGCACCCACAGCCCTCAGTAAGAAAGAATAAAGTGCTCTGACCAACACCACACACGGGCCTTCATAATCTTATCTCGTTCACAAAGCGCATTTTACCACCAACCCCGCAGCCTATTGCTCCGAGGCACAACCCCAGCAGGGCCGAGACTGACCACTGCTGCCTGCAGAGAGCAGCGACCGGTGCGGAGACCCGTGCGAACGACCTTCCCCTCCGCCCAGAAAGGCCCAGAACTGAGCCCCTGCGCGGCTGAAGGCGGGGAGTGAGCACAACCAGACCCCCCCGCACCCCCCTGCTCTGCCGGGCAGGGCGGGGAAGCGGCGAGACGGGGACTTTGGAGTAAATAACACCTACACCGTGCGGGCCGGAGGAGCTGGAGGGGCGGGGGGGGGAAGGCCGGCCTTCCGTGGGGCCCGGCCGTCCCTGCGCGGCCGGGGGCAGCCCCGGGGGCAGCGGAGGCTCCGACCCGCGCCCCTCCCGCCGCGCCCTGCCCGCCCCGCCGCGCCCGCTTCCCCCCCCCCCCTTCACCGCCACCGCCTCCCGCTCTCCCTCAGCGCCCCCCGCCGCGGCCCAGTGTTCCTGAGGGGCGGCCCCGGCCCCTCCGCCAGCACAGCGCCCGCAGCGGAGCGGGGGCAGGGGAGTGCGGGGGAAGCGGGGCAAGGGACACGGCGCCTCCCCCCCCCGCCGTCTGCGGAGTCCCGGGAGCGGCGCCGCAGCCGCCGGTACCTGCCACGGCCGCCGCTCGCCGCCCGCCCGCCGGCCGCACACAGACAATATGGCGGAGGCACAAGGCTCGGCCGCCAGCCGCAGGGACCAGAGCGAGGCGCGCCGGAACCGGAAATAGCGCAGCGAGCCGCGGCGGGGCGGGGAGCGTGTGCGGAGGGGAAGGGGTGTGGCGCCGCAAAGCCTCATGGGAGTTGTAGTCCGCGCCGGGGCGGTACCGGGCCGCGCGGGGGGGATCCCGGTTTGCCCGCACCGGGACACGGCCCCGGCGGCTCGGGCCGCACCGTGAGGGGAGGCCGGGCCCGCCCGTGTCGGCCTCCCCCGCCTCGTGGTCCCGGTGCGAGGCTCAGCCGTGCTCGTTCCGCCCCCCCCCCCCCCGGTAACCCCGGTCTCGGTTCCGGTCCTCTCTGCGGGCTCCCGAGGGGCCGGCGGCGGGCGGCTCTTGGCGGGGCTATGCCCGGGGCCCGCCGCCAGGTGGCAACTGCGGCCCGCGGAGCCGAGCCAGCCCCGCGGCCCGCCCGGGCTGAGCGCGGCCCCGCACCCGGTGCCCGGCGCTCGGTTCAACGCCGTTTTCCCGTCGCGCAGCCCCGGGATCGGCTTTTCCCGCATCGTGCACCCAGCCCTCGGCCGCGGGACGAGCCGGGGAGCCCCTGGGGATGGGGGTAAACAGCGGGGCACAGCCCGGCCCCTCCGCCCCGAGCTCCCCCAGGGCAGGGCTGCACCGCGGCTCACAGCGCCCTGCAGTGGGGCTGGATGGGGACACGCACCCTGGGCTGGTCACAGTCACAGTCACAGCCACCATGGCCGGGCCAAGCACCACAGCCCATTGGGAGGTGTTGGGTTGTGTTAAAGCCATGTCTGACCCCCCCAGAGCCCCCCCATGCCCCGCAGCAATGAGGGGAGCCAGCCCTGCCCCGCTGTCCATGGCCCCCTGGAGAGCTGAACATGGCCACGTTTCACCCCATTCCCCCCCCTTCCCCCGGGGTGTGGAGTCTCCCCCCGGGGACACCGCTGACCCGAGTCCCCCAGCCCCTCACCCCGGTCACTCCCATT